CCAAAGGGCTTGCACGTTGACATTTGCTATTGATTTTTCTTGAAGATCACCGTCATTCATCACAAATCATTTTTCATCATCAGGGGTGATTTCTTGTAGCCAGGTTAGTTGTAGAATTCTAGTGTGTTTATTATATTAAGTCTTTGTCCTTTTGTGTTTATACAAGTTTAGTATTAAGTACAGGAAGGCTAAAGATTTAGGACATAGAATTATGTGTGATGATGATATATTTTTTTTCCTATCCAGATATATTTAAATGAAGTTGACAAATTCTAACTTTTATGTTTAGTTCTTGATTTTTTGTTTGTTTGTTTGTTTGTTTGTTTATTTTCACAATGTGGCCAAGTAGAAGTGTACTTACATTTTTTTGTTTATCTCTTCATCAAACTTTTCACATGAAATCATTATCCTAAGATAATAGTAATAATAACAGTGATGATAATAATTGTGATAGTAATAATGCTATTGATAATTATAGTAATAATAGATATAATAATATTTATAATTATGATGATGATAACATTCATAATAATAATGATGATAGTAATGATGATAATAATAATGATAATAACAATAACAAAAATAGTAATGATAAATGATAAGACATGAAATGCTTATTATCTATATACTGTTACATGCTATCATATTTTCATAGCATGTGATACTTGACACATTAACCCATTGCCGCCGGGAATGGCATGTACGAGCTGTGTCCACTGTGGTTTTAGTTTATTTATAGTGTTTATAGATAGATGGCTCCACAATTGTTTAATTAGCAAGGAGTCGGTTAATATACCTATTCTTCCTTTCTTATTAGTTTTTCCTTTTTCCTGGATTTTTGGATATGTTCTTTTTTTATTTTGTTGCTATTAGTATATTTAATAACTTTGTGATAATACTAATATCAATAATAATGATAACAATAATGTTATTGATGGCATAAGATATATAATCACTAAAATTTGAGTAAAGAGTAAGTCGCATAAGGTCGTATAAGCTTATTAATTGATTCTAATTGGGAACTTGTGGAGCCACCTGTTTCTAAACATAATTCACAAAACCACATACAGTAGACACTACATGTTCTGGCTAGCAATGGGTTATAAATAGTTGAACTACGAATCTATTATACCGCGTTGCCTTCGTTGCCTGTTGTTGAATTCTCGTAGCATCGGTAAAAGGCTTTCTAAGTTGTGCGTCCTTCCTGCAAATGCCTTTATGTTTGATTCTTAAGCATAGAGAAGCAAGGAAATAAATGACCAAATTAAGTCATTCCTTTAGTTTTCTAACCAGAGAGTAAATACTACGTCTGATTAACTTTTTTCTTTTGTATGCTGTATTTCTGCTTTCTCTGTTATTTTTGTTACTGTTATGTTTCATTAGTATTGTTATAGTTATCATTTTTTAATGATATTGTTATTGTTATTATTATTACTATTATTACTATTATTATTCTTATTCTTATTATTATTATTATTGTTATTGCTATTGTTATTATTATTATTATCTTAAGTAATAGTAGTATTAGTGGTACTAGTAATAGTAGTAGTAGAACTAATTTAAATGGAAATGATAATGATAGTATTAGCCTTAGCAGTTACTAGTAGTGATATACAAACAGATAGTAACAGCAATAGCAGTAGTTGCAATAGTGATAGCAGAATTAATAGATATCATAGTTAAAGTTTGGAGATTATTCTTCGTTTTCCTTCCAGAGGTTTAATCCATTTGCATGACAATGGGGTGGTTCACGCAGACCTCAAGCCGCCTAACATCATGTGGAGTGCGCAGGTGTGTGGCTTCAAGCTCATCGACTTTGGGGTGAGCTTCACAACGAAAGAGAAATTCACACACGCGGTACAAAGTAAAGGTGAGTGGAATGGTAGCGTTGTTGCTGTTGTTGGTGCATTATCTTTTTTTTTATGATTTTCAAGGGTGTGTATTTCATCTCTGAAGATATTTCATTGGTGTTTTCTTTCCAGCATTATGAGAATTTTTTTTAGCTCTGGTAATCTAAGTTAAAATTCAAAGTAATCATTAACCCAGTTTTCTCTGTGCTGCTTAGTGCTTAGTGCTTAGTTTTCTTGTGGCATTATATTTGTTTTTGTTGCATTTGAAGCTCAGTGGTTTTCCTTAAGTTGGGTGAGATTGAGAAGGTTTAGCCAATGAAGGAGAACTGAAAATTATTATTGTTATTATTATTCTTGGGATATTTTTGATACCACTGGAATCAGAATTGACTGGATGACATCACTTTGCATCATTGGGATTTGATATGCATAATATGAATCAATATTAGGAGTCACTCATTAAACAATAGAGCAAAAAGGAGAGTATTTTTTTTCTAATTGAATTTTTAGCTTAATTTGCAAGACATCTTATCATATTTTAGAAATTAGCCTGAGATAAAACTCAATTACCTTATATTCCAGACTCTACAGCAGGACATGATATAAACTTTTACAGTAGTTCCAAGGACATTAAGTACCAAAAGTCTATAATAAAAGCATTTGCAATTTCCCTTAGGGTACCAAGCACCCGAGAGCATCTACTGGAACAAAAAGAGAGCGGAGATCAGCAGCTCAGACACCCCGGCTGTGGTCAGACCAGGGATTCCATCAGATGTCTGGAGTGCAGGATGCATTGTGGCAGAGGTTGATATTAATTTTTTTTTTTTCTGTTGTTGAGCTATTAGTTTGTAATGGTAGTGTGTGTGAGTGTGTTTGTGTGTGTGTGTGTGTGTGTGTGTGTGTGTGTGTGTGTGTGTGTGTGTGTGTGTGTGTGTGTGTGTGTGTGTGTGTGTGTGTGTGTCTGTGTAAATTCAGCAGTGTACATAATGATTCTTCTTCTTTTGAGCTTTACTTTTCAACAAAGTCTGTAAATGGTAGGCAATATTATCTTTTTCTAAATATAATTTTTACTTTGATTATATCCATAGTTTATGAATTACAGGCTATTGTTGGCTGCCAGTTGTTCCCTAGTTTTTGTGAGACCAATGTCAATAAGGCCGTGAAAGCAGCACTTTCCAGCAGCGCAGCCAACTATTCACCGCAGTTTTTGGATGGAGCTTATGACTTCATAACGAGGTGAGGAACTTTTTTCTTATGGATTGCTTTAGTCTCTTTTTATCCTTGAGTGTTTCGTCAGTGGCAGAAACAGGCAGATTATTCAAATTAGCTTGTTCTTTTTATGGGTTGAACCATGACTCTTAAATAAGTCATGCATTGTATTATTTTTCTTTGTGTTTGCAGTTTTTATAAGCTGCTTTGGGGGGCATAGGACATTTTTGTCTTTGAAAGTGGATATAGTCATCTAGTTTTAGAATGAAAAGAAGGATAATTGTTTTAATAGATAAATAGCATGTATCCTGTTAAATTCTTTTAATGTCAATGCTGTACTGTGTCACTTTCTGGATGTTAAGTACATCAATTTCCTCTTGCTTTAAAAGTAAGTCTTTCAGAAGTTACTGATGAGATGCACACATTAGCTGTGATTTCACTCATCTTTGCAGATGTTTACAAATCTCGCCAGGGGACCGTGCCAGCCCACGAGAGCTCTTGAGTAGTCCCTGGCTAGCCCAGGCCTACCGTCCTTCTTTCCATGACTTGTCACTACTTCGGACCACAGTGTTGCGTGTCCTTAATGTGGCAGATCCCCACCAGCTTGAGGGCATTCCTGAAGGTAAAGGTAAGTAATATTATGTCTGGAAGCTGTATGGAGAATAGAATGATTTTGATGAATTAGTGTAACTGAATTCAAATATTTTTGATGCATGTGTGGTGCTGCAGTTATGTATTTGTGTTATTAGAAATATTATTTATTGATCAAGGTATATTAGGAAGTTGTGTTCTTGGATGGCATAAATTCCAGGAGTCTTCCTTCCTAAAACTAACATTTTTATTGCAGTTGTGGAGAATTACTTCTTGCAGCTTTGCAAGAAGCACGGTGATGTCATTGACTACCACCTGGAAGTGGCGCTCGGGGCTTTCTTTGTACAGTACCACCAGGCTTCAGATGCAGAGGAAGCATACTATATCCTCTCAAAGACAATCTTCAACGACAGAACCCTAATTGTAACATTTTTTGATCTCGACTTGTGGCAACAGAGAGAGTTGTATTGAGCTCTTAATGATCTCAAAGTGTATATATTTTCCATATGTTGATGTATAAAGTGCAAGTTATGATTTGTGTATGAGCATTCAGATAAGGGCATTATAGTAATAATCTCACCCATGTATAGTATTTAGTCCACTGCAGTTTCCTTGATGGTAGAGTTAGTAGTAGTTGTTTTAGATAATATAGTTTGTTCCCTCCACCCCACTCTAATAAAAAGAAATGTGTAGAAGAGATAGTAGGTAATATTTCAGTAAATGAGTAGACAATCTTATAGGATATGAAATGACATCTCTTCCATTAGATTTGCTAATTTAAGATATTGAAATGGGACGGGAGTTGATCCAGTTTCCAAAGGGATTTGTGCTGTGAAAGTAATTTATCTTCCCTCTCGTAATGTGGGTTTACTTTATGAAGTTGAGTGATTTTATTCTGATGCAAAAAATCAAGGAAAAGTTTTCTAAAACATCATTTTTAGGCATTCATGATTGTTATTTATCATTTTAGGACCTGTGTGTAGTTTTGATGTTTTTAACCCAATGTGTGCAGGCTTTTTTGGCAGCTGTATGGTCCACCAAATAGGTATATCTGTTTGGGCCGCATCTCAAGCTATTGTACAATTCTTTTTTATTATTTTATTTTATTTATTTATTATTATTTTTATTTATTTATTTACTTTTTTTTTTTTTTCTTTTTGTGTGTGTGTATGTCAGTGTTACATTGCCTGAAGTTGTTCTTGTCCTCCTCCTCCTCCTCCTCCTCCTCCTCCTCCTCCTCCTCCTCTTCCTCTTCTTCCTCCTCCTCCTCCTCCTCCTCCTCTTCCTCCTCCTCCTCCTCCTCCTCCTCCTCCTTCTCTTTCTCCTTTTCCTTTTCCCATTCTTTTCCCTTTCCCTTTTCCTTCTCCTTCTCCTTCTCCTTCTCCTTCTCCTTCTCCTTCTGATTCTGATTCTTTTCCTCAGCCTGTAAAAAGTTTTTTACTAGTCATAATTTTTTTTGAACCCCCCTGTGGGTTATCATGTCACTAGAATGTTTGTCTTGGCACACTTGTCATAAGAACTTGATGCAATCAGAAATTTATTGACTAGTGTTTTGGTTATTGATTATTGTTTTTTACTTTTCATAATATGTACTATCAGGACATTAGGAATGAGACGACTTCTAGGATGTTTCATATGGCAAACTATGGCCATTTGTCCTATGTACCTACCATAGTTCTGAGGTAATTTAATCATGTTCAGATATGATAAATTATGATTAATGTCATGGATTTACATTTTGTCATTTTGTGAAATTATATTTGGGCTCAATATGTAACAATTCTTGTATATATTTTAAAGATAGTCGTGAGCCAGATCATGATAGCTTAGGTTACATCACTTAGGAAGTGTGTATATAATATCAGTGATATAATCTCTATAGAAAATTAGATTTGCTTAGATTCAAGTAGTGGTCTCCCACGTGGCCAGGGACTGAGGAAATATTATAGATATGTTTGAATGTATTGTATCAGCAGAACTTTGGAGAAGAATTAAAACATGTAAATATGACAAGAGAAATCAATATTAAGTGTGTTTCATTGAGTTGAATCAGTTCTTTTTTAATTTATAGTAAAAGTTTAAAAGAGTTCTCTATTAACATTCTATTAATATATGTCGGTCCTTTGCCAACTGTGGCTTTTTCATTCAAGATCTGTTAGCTTCATTAAATGCTTTGATTCGATACGTTATTTGAAGGAATTCATCCCATAACTTATTGTATGGATTCTTAAAATGAAAATTAGCATAGGTAGTAGACATAGTTAGCCGAAGAAGACTAGATTTACAGTGTCTGTGATCCCAACAATAAGTAAAAGTAAAGTAAAAATGATGCAGGCAATGACACGGTGAAACTTTGCATTTAAGGACTTCTTAGAGCTCTTTGTTGTTTGTTCAGATGTCATACCATTCCTCTGTTGGTGTTTTCTTCCCAGAGTATTCCAAGGAAGTTGAGGATTGCAGAGAAACTGGGCTTGTCATCACCATCCTAAGGGAGGAGTGAAGACATCTGTAATAGTATTTTTAGAAATAGTATTTGTCTTGCCAGTTGCCACATCCCCACAATGTAGGTTTTAAATGGTTTAATCTATCCAGTTCACTTGCACATATGTTTTAATGTTCATTTTAACAGAGGTAAGATAAGAAGTTATCAGTGTAACATGGAAGTGTACCTTACACTTACAAAGAAAATGTAGTAGATATTCATTGGTATATTTAATTTTGTGTGTGAAGAACTCGTCTCAAGTTTATCTCATGGTTAGTTGTTGTGAATGTGTTACAGATGAAGATAAATTTCAGTGAGAACATTTGAGAAAAGGTTTGAGTAACAATCTTAATTGCGAGAATACAGTCAACGTTTGACCTTATGAAAGATATTTTAATTCAGTTTAATTTAGACTTAGTGCCATTATGTTCTATTGGAAATAAAAGTCGATGTGTACTTTTTACATTTGAAAACACTATATATTATTTTGTGTTTCACATTTTAAATTCATTGAAGCAGCGAAAGGATAAAAATACACATTGTTAAGTCATGCTGTCTAGGATTTGGTTTTGTTTTTGTTAGTCGAGTTACTTCAGTCAACCTGAGTTTGGTTAGATTGGATAGCTGTAAGTAGGGAATGATAGAATAGGTGTGTAGGATAGGCAAGTGTAGGATAGTTCAGGGAAAAGTACACAAGGCTTAGATTGCATTGAATTGAATGACACCAGGATAGGTAAGGGTTTGCAGGATGTAAAGTAAATCAAGTACACTAATTGACTGATGTGTGAACGTTAACCCATTGCCGCCGGGGAAAATGAATAAAAAATGGGGAAAAAGCTGTGCTCATTTTTTTATATTTTTTGTGAAATGTCTCCACATAGATGGCTCTGCCTTACCTGATTTCACCTTTCCTTGAAGTGACAGGAAAATGTATTTTTTACTAGTGTTATGAATATTGATGGTGATATTTTTATTATAAGTATTATAATTACTATAATGTTATAAACATTAGTAATAGCAAAATAAGGTAACATAAAATATTTTTGTAAATCAAAGAAAAGTGTAAACGGGCTAGACAGGCAGCACTCGTAATTGGCTCATTGGTGATTTTGTACAAGTGTAGCCATCTATGTGAAAAAACAATTAAACAAGTAAACTCACAGTGGGCATGGCACGGATACGTGACATGTCCGTCATGAATGGGTTAAGGGAAATATACTATGACTTCAGTTGTGGTGACATGTAGGGGCAGTTTTCATAGTGAACAGTTTTTAGAAAGAGTACTGGATGAAAACATTTCTAGCTCTTACAGATTTCCTGGATTTTGAGTTTATATCTGATAATTTTTGCATTTTTTTATTGTGCTTTCGGTGTGGAGTCTTGTAGAACAGTGAAGATGGTTATTTTTAATTTTTAAAAATAAAATTACCATATTGTCTTACCAGGTTTTATATGTATATATTTTGTAAATAAGAAAAAACAAGATTGTATTTTTATATTGCTGTTATTTAATTTCTTTAATGAGTTAGTTTTTAGTGCTTTATACCATGGTTTGTGTAAGGATTTTAAGGGAGTAGAGCTGCGAGATTATATATATATATATATATATATATATACATACGTATATCCATACGTATATCCATACGTATATGCATACGTATATGCATACGTATATGCATACGTATATGCATACGTATATGCATACGTATATGCATACGTATATGCATACATATATACATATACATATACACATACATATACACATACATATACTCTTACACACACACACACACACACACACACACACACACACACACACACACACACACACACACACACACACACACACACACACACACACACACACACACACACACACACACACAAAATTGAAGAAAGGTTTTGAGGAATTGGCCATTGTCTGGCTAAATTAGCAAGATTAATACTCTGTACCACAACTGTCTTATAGGGCAGTTGTTAATTTCTAAATATTTTTTTCTGTAACAGAAAGTAGAAAATGTATTATTCTTTGATATTGTATTCATCTTAAAAATATCTTGAACACTGTAATATAAAAGTGAATATTTGATGAATATTTGTTGAAAAGGTGAAAAAGTATATTTACTTTATTATATTGATTTAATTAAAAGTATGCATACTTTACTGTACTTTTTAAATATATTTAATGCAGATTACAATTAAAAGTCATTTTGCTTGATCTTGCTCTCTTCCTCTTTTTTTTTCTTATCCTGTTACTTCTGATTCTTCTGTGTTTGTTGCTCATCCAGTATAGGGTTCTTTGTCATCCTAAAAATTGTTTTTGTTAAACCATTGGATACAGGTGATGTGTACACCTTGTCATGAAAAAAATTGGGTAAAGGGAATGCCTCATTATGGGAAATTGTAACCAAGTGTTGGGTGCTGAGAACATGAGTGCACAAAGCCCTTGCAGTAAGATTGATTCAGCAGGCCTTTTATTAAGGGGTGTTTTCAGGGAGGATATTTTGTCTGTTTGTAGGAAACTGTTCATGCCTGATGCTTCCAATAGCATAGTATGCATTAAAGCCTCCTGAATTTTTTTTGTTCATTGTATGTTTTGTGAAATGCCTCTGCACATAGATGGCTCTTCAAGTGCTTAGCCATAGAGGAGACTATCAGTAGACCTTGTAGGTGACCTTACCTGATTTCACCTTTTCTTGAATTTGCAGGATTTTTTTTTTTTTCTAATGCTATTAATGCCAATGTTATTTTTATTATAGACACTATAATTAATATAGTGTTGTTGATATTACTAACAGCAATATTAGATACCAGATTTTTTTTTTTTTTGATCAAGCAAAATAGTAAACAGGAGTAGTACTTGTAATTGGCTCATTGGTGACTTAGTACATGTTGAGCCATCTATGTGTAAAAACAACTAATATATTAAACTCACAGTGATCATGGCATGTACTCACATGCAATCCCAGCAACTTGAATAATGAAAAAAATAAAATAAAAAAATAATACAATAAACAAAATTTTAGTTGTTATTCAGTTATTGCACAAAAAGTAAACTACCTGGAGAGGTAATATGGAGACTGCTCAGTGAAAACAGTCTACTGACATCCTGATACATCATAACAAATGACAAATATTGACCTTGAAAATGGGCATATCAGCAAAAATCACAGGAGTAATAGCATTGTAAAGAGGAGGCAAGGAGTCTTGATACCACGTGTGAGTGTTTGTGTCAGCCAGACCTATAAGCCACATACCAGAAGGGTTGCCACTTAAGGACTTTGGTCCACGTATACACCACGAAGCACCGACGTCAAACAGGTGATTTACACTTTCAAAGGTGACAAAATGACAGTATTAATTTGCCTTGTTCTTATGATGCTTTCTGAATTATTGGCTAATGACTGTGGTGTAAATGAAAAGATAAGAAAAATATTTAGGAATGAAATAGGTTTTACACATGCATTTTCTTACTTCTGAAATTTGAAGCAAAGACATTATCTTGGCTGTATTAGAAAACTAACTCAGGACAAGATGATAACATATTACTCCAAAAATGTATTACAGAAATGCAGTTGGAACATTTTTATTTACCAGAGTATTAGATAATATTATTTCATGTTTTCCAATTAATGTTTCTTTCCCTTTTGCAACTGCATTTGTTTTATTTCTCTATTTCCAACTAGTGACTATTTCCAAATGAGGGTTTTAATTGGAAAACACAATGTATATAACCATTTCTTTATTAATTATAATGCACAAATCCAATATCTGTAAAGCCATTTATGCATGGTTGAATAGAAACTACCAACAGAAGCTTAGAAAAGCAGTGCCTTCAATGAATTTACAAAATAATACTAATGTCTTCTTAAAATTAACTCTGCTGGAAATTAACTGTTAATCTTTTTATTGTTCATGAAGACACTACAACTACTGTTTTGGTCCACAACACAATCCAAATGGGAGTGCCCAGGAAAGCAAAAGTTATACATATTAAAAAAATATATGTTATAAAAACAAAAGAAAGAAAAATTAAAGATGAAAAATGAGCATCTACTTCTTTCAATATTTTTTTTAAAGAATTAATTCACAAACTGATGTGTTCATGGTGTCTTTGTATGTCCTATTACCTAATTTCTGGCAAAAATAAATTGATGCAGCATATTGTTCCAAATACATAATTGTACAAGCTTCATGACTATACTGAATGCATTCCTATGTATAGCTGATATTCATGTCCTGTAAAAATTTCTAGAATCACATAAAGAATATTGTCTCGGCACCTATTTACCTGTTTATCCTTTAGCACAAAAGCAAAGCTTAGTAAGAGTGAACAGGATATCAAAACTATCATAGTTACATTAAATACTGCCTTCGAAATACACCTGAACTTTGTAGCACTAGAATTGAGACTGCTCAGTGACGTAACAATCATCCAGCAATCTCTTTACGTAAGAATGCAATCACAAGCATGTTGTGACTATCTGACTGTGAACGTTTAAACAAAGGGTAACTGGATTGTGCAGACACCATGTACATATCATTCTCTCAAATTTGCTGGTGCTGTATCATGGGCCTTCATTAAGCTAAAGGGATGTTATTATATTTATATAGAACCTCAATGACTATGAACATTTGAGCTAAATTTTTTTTGTTTTTGTTTTTTTACACAGAAAGTTAAATTGTTCCCAACTCAATGGTCCTGTTGCCTCAGCTGTCCTGACATTGGTGTTCAGCATTAACACAGCAATGTCAACATTTAAAATCTGCTTACTTGACTCCTTTGCTTACTTTGACAATGGTATGTTCTGTCACTGTAATAAAATGCTTTTACAGTATAATACAGTTTCCATGAATCAACATTCCCTCAAACAGTGACAGTATCCATCCATTACATTCTTGCCTTGTGTACTATAAAACATGGCTTTCAAAAGCCTTTGACCATACTAGTCCATACAAAAGTATATGAAAATATGCTACTGTCAAAATGTTGAAAATGCCAAAAAATTAAATATTCGATTGAATTTGTAAGACATGGAAAATACATGCTACTCTTCAATTGCCTACAATATACTGGCAGTTTCTAAACATACGAAGAGGTCGAGTAGAACCCCATCTACAAGGATGAGAGAATCTGTTAAATCTGGTTAAATTAATCATGTTCCCTAAAGACATGACCGCACAACATTAAATGAATACTGTGAGGTCTTCCATCGAAACCATGAAGATGAGCACAAATACTGATGAATATTAGAAATAGGTTGGTCCACATATATATACTTCCCAGCTTCCCCATTGCAGAAAAGCTTGAGAAAAAACTGTATACATATAAAACTGTAAGCAAAATAAAAAAAAAAAGGAAAGAGTACCACGCCTTTTCTATTGTCTGTCTTTTGACCAAAACCAAAGATATTTTTAACTTCCATGAAAATGCAGTTGGTAGCAACAATAATTGTCTTTCTGATAAAAATAACCTTCTAACCCTCACATCCCAGCATTTATGAAGTGTATCCTTCATCAAGGGACACGAGTTTGAAAAATATTTCAATGGAGGGACCAGTCTCGTCTAATTAGCAATTCCGTTTCGTATATCTCAAAAGAGAGAAGTAAAAAGGGGCTGTTCTCATTTTCTTTCCATTTTCAAGAAATGTTTCAACAAAAATGGACAGGAAGATCAAAAAACATTCAAGTCCCTCCTTATGCCCTTGCAAAGAAAACGCTGCTGATCTACTGGAAAGTCTTTATCTTAGAGAGCGCAGAAGTTGTCGTCGTTTGGGGGGACCTTCGACGTATCAAAATAAAGATTCTGGAGAAAGAAAAGCATGAAAAGAATTGTACCAGCTAAATTGTATTTAATACCAGCACACTCAAGATCCAACTGTCATCTCTGGATAGTGATGAAATTGCATCATGTATCAAAATAAGCACTTCTGGGGTAAATATGGAAAAATAATACTCATTAGTAGCATTTACAGCAAGTTGGCTCTCTAATTTACACATGCTAAGCCATAAAGTCCTTGTTCAATAGCACATATTCTTCTGCAACAGAATTTCTCCTAAGAAAACAGTTATTCAAAGGTACACTTCAATCAGCCTATTTACTAACAACTTTGGCAACAGATGTCATTATGTACAGAGCAAAGAAATGAACATCTAAAAGATATTGCACAAACATTAATTTGTACTGCCCCTTCTTAGTGACTCAAGACAGTAATGGAGTTGTGGGCTGAAATTTCCACTGAACCAAACCCTCAATGCAGTGTAGAATCATCAATGGTTAGCACTGACACATTTACAGTGGACTAAGTCATACATATATATGCACCTGTGGATACATACATATATATGCAAATTACAAGACAGGGTGAGATTTCCACTTCTTAACCTAAACAAGGATTGGGTTAACATACAATTATGGCAATTCTATAGTAAAATATACTTAAAACTAAATATATGTAGCTGACTCTCAGTACTTTTGAAAATACTCTTGCTAAATAACAAACAGTGATGTCTTTGAAAATAAATGAAAAGAAAAGAAACAAGACTTAATTAAGTACAATATAATAATTATAACTCTTATTTAGCTTAACTAATAATCAAATATATAGCTACTTTTAATTCTGATTACAAACACAAGTTTGCATATAACAATATATTTATATATATATATTCATATATATATATATATGTGACATAATTTTGAAGTATAGAACTATGTACAAATCACAAGTACTCAAATCATAGTACTCATTTATTTCTTATCTTTTAAGTTTATTAAGCCACAAGCACAAGTGTTGATCGTGCAATCCTAAGCAATTTCCGTGACCAGGCAGAACGATTGACAACACATACTCTCATAAATGCCAACCAAAGCTTCTTTTGAAACGAAGGGAAGAGGACAAAATGGAAGAAGAGTGATAAGTCATAAAAGAAGAAAAATTGAGGAAACTGATAATGATCGTTAATAAAGAAAACAGAAAGAGATGAGAGAAAGAGACTTGCAAAGAAAGGAAAGAGAAAAGGGAATCCAAACTAAGAAGACACATGACATAAAACGCCACAAGACTACACTGTTTGGATCTTGCTCTTACAGCTAACAACAAACAAAGGTGAAATTCTTAACGAATCTCGATACAACAAATGAGGCTGTCATTTCTCATTTTGAGCATGTAGTTATCAAATAAATTAGTTCATATACTATGCCTAATTTAAGTCACATTGAATATCAATGAATAAATAAAAGGAGAAAAAAAAAATAAAGTCACCGATAGGGAAAAGAACGAAAGTACCAGAAAATCAAGACTTTCTTGGCTGAACACAAGAAAGAGAAACACTGTGTTACAACCAAAAATCTCAAATAACAATGCTTAATGTGGGCTTAACCTAAGTCTTCTAAATAACAGTATAAACCCTTAAAACCTTAAAAGCCATTCATGTGTGTTCTAAATAAACTAGAGTTTCTAGAGAGAGTTTAATACCTGAACCTATAAACTCCTTTCTCAAAACTTCTAAAAACAAACAAACAGATTAGACTATTTAGGTGTGATCAGGCTGCAGTGGACTACCATTTATCATTCTTTTAAAAGTTGCATTCTGAATTACACTAATTACCGTAAACTTATTTAGTGCATATCTTACACCAATTTGGTTCTAACCTATCAGCATCAGAAATGTTTTAGTCTTCAGTCTGGTATCCATCATACAATCTCTGTTTACACAGGACCTGAACATCTTTATTAATTGGTCCACAATATTGCCATAAACATTCATTAATCATCCACTGAAAACACACCAGTATTGTCATTGGTTACTGTGTACAGTTGAGAACACAGCAAGCCTCAACATTTTTGAAACAGGCTGGACGTCAATCCTCCTTTGAGCTGTCAAGCCTGCTGGAAAGGTCCTCCAACCCAACCCACACCAGAAGCAGTTGGGCTGCAGGTTGCTGGAGACTGTGGTCCCTTTAAAAGTCAGGCCACTGGCCAAGGGGCTGCTCTCCAATTAATTATGCACGTTTCAAGCAAGCAGCTTCACACTGGAAGGAGAAAGGTTCATTTGTAATGAAGAATCTATCCACAGAAAAATTCCATACAACTACCAATAATAAAAGCAATAAATATATCAACAACAACAATAATAGTGATAATTACAAAATTACTTCTAAGTTATAATACCTACTAGAACTGGTATGCATGTAAACATACTTCCAAAGTAATAACACAACAATGACTTACCATTGTCAAAGCAATTTGGATCAAAGTAATTCAGAAGTTCAGTTTCTGAGAGGTTGATAGCTGAACTGACTTCATTCTGCATTGTCGCTTGTGTGGTTGTTGCATTATGATTCAGAAGTACTTCCCCCTGGCTTCTATTGTCTGTCTGTTGACTCTGACTGGTTGCAGGGACAGTGGTCGTTCCAAGTTGCATTGGTGCCACTGGGCTCGACTGTGACAGAAGTGGGTCTGATCTTGTCAGTGCTGATGAGGCAACTGGCACTGTGGTGATCATGGGTGCTTGATGGGAGGTTGTGGTGGCTGTCACAACCACCTGTGTTGGCATCAGCTGGCACAGACCTGTCGACTGTGACAGCAAAGGATCCGAGACCACAACAGGCATGGCAGGAGACCCATTCAGAGGCTGCTGTTGGTTGGTGTGCTGGGCTACTATCTTTGATCCTGTGTCAGCTTCAGCTTGAGAGACATTCTGTGTTGCATGATGTGTTGGTGGCTGGCATGCCTGGGTCTGTGTTGGCATCAGTGTTTGTGTTACATCCATGGCCATAGGCTGGTTGACATGCTGGTTGGCCGATTCATTGAATGTCTGCATTAGACCTTGATTGATGGGCTGATACACTGCTTGCTGTGTTGAGTTTCCAATTGGCTGGTCTACATTTATCACTTGGTTAATGATAGAACTGTTTTGAACTGGAGAAGTATTGAAAATGGTCTGAGAAGCAGAAGTGCCAATGTTACTGTCAGGAGTATTGCCAGAGGTATTTGTACAAATGGGTGTAACCAGGGGGTTGCACTGGCTCACCACCACCTTTTGCTGTGGTGCAGACACAATGGATGCAAAGTCAGCCCTCTCTGCAGCTTGTGATACAATAGTCGTAGGCAGACTGCAGTTAATACCTGCTCCCTGCATGTACTGGTATTCCATGGGGACAATTTGGTCACGCATCTTCTTTTTTGGTGGCTCCTGACTGATTGGAGTCTCTCCCACACATACACGAACTGTTCTTGCGAGTCCTGGAGAGGAGACCACCGTGGTGGAAGCAACAGGTGTCATTGATGTGATGGGAGCCACACGGGCCACTCTCGGGCCTGAGCTGACTGTGTGCAGTGATGGCACTGATGACAACACTGTGAAAGGTAAGAGACTGACAGTCGGGGACACAGTTGAAGTCATGGCAGTCGAGGGAGGCATCACTGTGGGGGCACAGGTGCTCTTGGGCACCATGGGAACAATGGGACTCACTCCAGTGGATTTTTGTGTCTTGGCAGTCAAAAGACTTGAAAGACAGTGTGTGGCTGACACTGGAAGTGCAGCAGAAATTCTCTGAGAAGTGGCTGACACTCCAGAGCTCTTTTCGCCAGTCTCCTCTGGGGTCTTGGCACATCCAGGTGATGAGATGTTCTCCTTCATGGACTTCACCAGCTCTTCCACCAGCTGCAGAACAGAGGTGTGCAGATTGGATCCTGATGGCAGGGAGAGTGCAATCTTCAGCATCTCCACCAAGCTCTCTAGGCTGACTGTGCCTTGAACCGACTGCTTCTGCAGGGTCATCTTGGAGCCATTCTCGTCTATGTACGTCTCCTCCTCCTTAACATCCGGGTCGTTGCTCTCGGCACTCGGGACAGAGTTTATCACCGACTCTGACTGAGCTGACACACCTCCCCCCAACATGGAGGTTCTGCCAGGGGACACCTTTGTCTTCGGGATGCGTGCTGAGGACCTCTGGGGCCTGGTTATCGGCTTTTTGCCAGCAGCAGAGTTGACAGGGAACCGTGATACACGCATTGTTTGCTGCATGACAGCCTGGCCAGGAACAGTGGATGTGGAGGCTGAAAGGAGAAAGAGCAGTTAATAAACATTACATCTATTATCATATGAGAGAGAGAGAGAGAGAGAGAGAGAGAGAGAGAGAGAGAGAGAATGAAATACATACATACATTAGTGCATACATGGGACAAATGGGACAAAATGGGCATAAATAAAAATTATACTTTCAATTTATACAGCTTATTAACCCCTTGGTGCCGGGTGACGCCGATCGTCGTGTAAACAAAGAGCTCGAAAGCTGGCGTGCAGCCAAACGAGCCGGCGGCGCGCCAAAGAGCGGCGAGCCAGTGATTCGGGCTGATGTCCCCTACTCACGCGCTCAAAGTCGGTTTTTTTTTTCTTTTGTACACCCGGCGCCATTGGGTTAACTATCACTACCATTCACACTAATCTGCATCTACCAATACCAACCCATCAACCCATTGGACCAAACTCTGGGAAATAGGCTTACTTGAACCTAATATTTTACGACATGACAGTCACAACACCCAGATCCACTGGGTAAACTTCATGACTCCATATAAACCCCACATTTGAGCTTTACCTTGAGAAATCTTGATAGGTGAGCTCTGAGAGACCACAGCTGGACCTGGAGCTTCTGGCATCAGCACAGGCAACGATCTTGTTTCCGCATACTGGAGATTCAGTTGCAAGGCACCTACAAACGTGTGAAGGAAAAGTGTTAAAAACTGGAAGATCAGAGGGAAAAACTTAAAAGAAGTCTGAGGTGTGCAATTTCAAATATCAATGTACATGATTTAGTGCCATGAACATGATAATAAATCTACTCTCTGGTTAACATCTCATATTCCATTTATACATATTCTCTATACATATTCTCTACACAAACATATACACACTTAATTTCATAAAATGTGAAGTTTCATATATTCAAGCAAATATATCCAGACAAGCAAACTTCTAAAAGTCTAAACCTAAATAATTTTGGATAATCATGGTTAAAGTTCCTAATATCTGCACACAGAAGCCAAATCTACAGTGGCTTCAGTCTGCAGTTAATCCAATTACCTGTAGAGACACATAGTGACTCAAATGTGAAATGTGATTAACTATGCATTCTTCTCTGCCTTGTTTCATCATATATCACATTATTTCTTATGTTTATCTATTGTATGTCATTTCAGAAAGGACTGGCAAGTGTACTCAAAACTATTTCACTCTTCCTCTTAGCTCACTAATTTTTTTATGCACCAATATTCAAAACCATAAAAAAGTTCTTTGTACTTACTAGGAGAAACTCCTTTAGGTAGAGTCTTCTCTTCCAATGGCTCTGGAGGTGGCAGTT